AAACACGAAGGGAACCACTAATGTAAAGAAAGTTATTATAGAATTGTGATACAGTAATATATCCGGTTCTTTAGAAAAGCATTCAATAGGAAAACGTACAGGCGGGTTCAATACCACCATAGTTCCAAAGTCGTGATGAACATGAAGGCTGGTGTAAGAAATCTGCAGCAACTGTTGTATAATAGAAACATCTGCGGGTTTTATGCGCAGTAAAGACACAGCACAACAGCTCTAGCAGCACTGTGCTGAGCTGCCTGTGTGCATAACTGAAGGACACGGGGAATTTCAGTTACAAGTCAGTGGACATACAGACTTAAGTCTTCCCAACCACGGTTATGGACTCTGGGTTCTGCCCATGGGTTCTGGGGCAAAACTCCATGTTTTATTTTGTTTTGTTTGAAAGTTTATTCCTTTTTATCTTTGAGAGAAAGAGAGAGAGCAAGGGAGGGGCAGGGAGAGACAGGGAGACAGGATCCCAAGCAGGCTCTGCACTTTCAGCACGGAGCGCAAAGTGGGCCTCAAACCAACAAAACCATGAGGTCATGACCTGAGCTGAAGTCGGGTGCTTAACCGGCTGTCCCACCCAAGTGCCCCCGGAGTCCCTGTTTTAGATGGCACTGTTTCTGAATCATGGTTTGGTTCTTTTTGTCCAAGAGCTATCCATAGGAGATTAGGGGCATGAAGCAGGAGCCACAGAGAGGGTGAAAGCATCATTTCACCATGTTGTACCAATACCAGACTAGGGCACTTGGCCAAGATCCCACAGTTTCAGACTTCGGAAATGGACTGGTTAATATTGTGATTTCGTTGAGGGCCACACTTAACTGATGAGTGGGCTGGGACATCTGTAAGACACAGGCTTTCCTCGGGGAATCCCATAAATTACTTGGGATGGGAAGTCTGACAAAAAGCAGGAGAATGTGTGTATGTGATTTTTAAACAAAAATTGATATACTCCAATTCTTATATTACAGCCTGCTTCTCTATATAATGTCACAATATATCTTGTCCCAGTATAATTTTTCAACAAATACAATTATAAAATATTATCAATGGCTACATAGTATTCTAAGCATACGCCGGAATTTATTTCATTAACCCCCAGATTTGAGCATGTGAGTTCTTCCATTATTATGTAAATAGCGCTCTGATGGGTGCTGTAGATTAAATCTTTGTCCACGTTCTATTTTTATTTCCTTCAAATATTTCTATAAATGGAATGGCTGTGTCACAATTTAGTCATGTCACAACAACAGCAATGCGTATTTTAAAGATTTTTTGATCGGTACTGTCAAATCGTCCTCCAGAAAGGTTGTTCCTATTCATATCGGAACTGGAATCTTTGACCTTGGCTCAGAAGATGGCAAAGAGACGGGGAGAACGCCTCTAAATAGGGAGAAGTAAGAGAATGCTCTTCCAGAGGCAGGACGAAGGCAGGCCAGTGTTGTGCCAATGATGTTCTGCTCTTCTCTGGTGCTGGGAATACCTTTAAGGTAGAATGGGAACCAGGGCTGAGTCTTCAAGACCTGGGGTCCCTGGTATTGACTTAGTTTAGATCATTTGCATAAACCCAGCCTCCTATAGCTGTGCTAAGGGGATGCAGGGGAGTGCTCTGTATCCATTATTGAACTAGACTAATAGTGAGAATACTGGAATCAGAGAGCACCCCCAAGGAAGAGCAGGTTCACGTGGGAAGGCGTGAGCAGAGCTGACCACTTTGTTACTTCCTGACCTGGACATTCCCATCAGTGCTTTTTGTCCACACGAAAAAAATGAGAGTTGACTGCCATTGCTGTAGTAAAGAAGGCTATTTCTTTTCCTCCTCCTCCTCCTTCTGCCTCTCCTTTCTCCCCGCCCCCCCCCATTTTTCCATTTTTCTTTCCTTCGCAGCTAGACCGTATATTCCAGAAGGGCAGAAGCCACGTGATGCTTCTGTCGTATATCAACAATAGTAGATATGGGGAAAAATACTTGCGAATTCTTCTGTCAAAATCAGGTATTGCCACACAACGTACCAGACGCCTGAAATCTCAGCGGACTTACTAACTGCTCTCTCTTCTCTTTCATTGTTTTGTAGACGCAGATTTGGCTTATTTCCTCAGGCACAGAGACCAGAGATCAGTTCTCTCTCCTTAATCCCATCTCCCAGATCCGCAACTAGACTGCTAGCATCTTCTCTCACATCTCATCTGGGGGTCCACAGAACGCGCCGATTATCACCGCAGAGTTTATAGAGTTCCCACCCAGACTCTAAAGGTTAAAAAGGTGCATCTGTGAGACCTGGCCTCTTGCCCTGGGGACCCCTGGCTGGGTGCCCTGCTCCTGCCCAACCTCAGGGGGGACATGAAAGCAGGTGGAGAGCAAACAGCCCCTGGATTAGCAAGCATTTGCTCTGTCCTTGGTCCAGACATGACCCCGGCTGCTCTCTCCCACTTTGGGTTTGTAGGTGCTGCTCAGAGAAGAGTCTCCTTGTCCTTCCTTGTGTGACTTTCCTGGACTTCACTTATTGCCTGTTTTAACCCTGGTGCCCACGTGCCCCCTGCCATCTCTCTCAATCATCAATCATCCCAATCATCATCTCTGCCTGTACATCTCTCTCAATCTTTTTTTTTTATTTTTAAATGTTTATTTATTTTTGAGGGGGAGAGAGTGCGTGAGCACCGGAAGGGTTAGAGAGAGAGGAGGCACAGAATGGGAAGCAGGCTCCAGGCTCTGAGCTGTCAGCACAGAGCCCGACGCGGGGCTTGAACTCACAAACGTGAGATGACCTGAGCCCAAAGTCAGACGCTCAACCGACTGAGCCACCCAGGCGCCCCATCTCTCTCGATCTCTTACCCACGAGGCCCTGGGTACCTACCTGACCCCTTCTGGCTAGCCAGGGGGCAAGCCTGTCCTCTCTGACTGCTTCCCGACACCCGTGCTCTCGTTTCTCAGCGAAGACCAAGGCTCCGAAAGTTACACTGGATTTAAAACTACGCCTTCTAGTCAGCCTCGAGTCCCGATCTTCATCTCACCCCAGCCGGGGCCGAGCTGCCTCGGGCCACTGCCCCGTGCCGGGTCCGGCCCGGAGGCCGTCGGCACCCCGCCCACCCCCACCCCGGGCTCCGCGAGCGCCCCGCACGCCCGCGGACTCCGCGACCCGCTCGCGCGGACCAAACAGCGCCCAGGAAGCGCGGAGCCGCCGCGGCCGCGGCCAATCGCGCCCGCGCTCGCGTGCCCGGTGCCGCCCCGGGAAGAAAACAAGTGTTTGCGGAATTCGGCGGCCGCGGCCCTCCGCCCGGGCTTTCTCCCCGGGCATCCCCAGCCCCGGCCCTCGAAATCCGTTACCCTGCGGCGGAGGGCGGGCCCCGGGTCCCCGCCAGCGCCCCCCCCCCCTTCCCCAGGGGCGCGGGCCCGGCCGGGAGCCGGCGAGGAGCCCCCGCGCGGGCCGGCCGAGGGGAGCGCCGCGAGGTGCGCGCGGAGCGCGGCGGCGGGGTCGGGGGCAGGGGCGGGGAGGCGCCGCGCGCAGCCAATCCCCGGGCCGCCCCCTCCCCGCCGCCGCCGCCAGCCGAGCCGGGGCGGGGGAGCCGGGCGGCGGCGGCGGCGGCGGCGGCGGCGGCGGCGGCGACGGAGCTGCCGCGGGGAGGGATGGAGAGGGGAGGGGGGAGCGGAGCCGAGCGGAGACAGCCGCGGCGCTGCAGAGCGGCTGGGGCGGCGGCGCGGCTCCCGGTGCTGCCCCCGGCGCCCGCCCCGCGGCGGTGAGCGCCCGGCCCCGGAGGCGCCGGAGCCATGGGCTGCATCGGCTCCCGGACCGTGGGTGGGTACCGCGGCGGGGCGGGGGCGGGCGGAGGCGGGCTCAGCCCGCGCCGGTCCCCGACCCCCCCTCCCCCACCGCCCCCGGCGCCCCCCGCCCCGCCCGGCCTGGCTCCCGCACTTTCCCCGCGCCCGGCTCTCCTCCGCGCTCGCCCCTCGCGCCTCCGGGGCCGGCCGGCCTCCCCGCTCCTGCGCTCCCTCGTCTCCCTCCGGCCTCCCTGCGCCGCCCCCCCCCCCCCGGCGGGGTCC